ATATATATATATATATTTTTAAACCTTTGCGAGAGAAATATTTGTAGACTATTGAGAAACGAGAGATATGAGTTACGAGTTATAATTCTTAAAATTATTTAAATATTTTACGAGTTTTCTATAGAATTTTTAATTTGTAATTTTTCTATTTTTTTTTTTTTTTTTAAGATACTTGGATTCTATGGAACTGTCCTATCTTACGCGAGACTTTTAATCGGTAAAAATCAAGCCACTGTGACCATTTAACGTTATCTGGTCAACCGTTTAATTGATTTAACCGGTAACACTATTAACAGCGAGGGCATCGGTTACCCATCTCACAATCTATCCCAATGAAACGCTTCGTTGATACCCACGCTACGATACTCGTTTCGTGAAATCGATACCACTTCGCGTCATAATGTGTCCTATAATCGTCAACTGCGATCGGTATGTGTATACTTGAGGACATGTTTACGCAAACAGAGATTCGAGTCTGATGAAAATTTCAAACAACTCTGAGAGAAATAATTAATTCTATACCAAACTATCAAAAGAAAATATAAGAATATTTAATGTAAATACGAAATAGTTTTATTAATCAAGTATTTATCGATTGTTTTATGATCCAATTTTATGGTCAGCCAAATAACACGAAATATGCACGATGGAAAATATAGTATTTTGTAACGAAACTTTAATAGCGATCCAATCTTTCATTCTAAGAAATCTATCTTATACCACTTGACATTATCCCTCTTTTACTCATTCTTTCGTCATCTGATCCTTCTTTTACCTCATTTCTTGACAAGCTTAAAGTTAAAAGTACTATTTTCACAAATGAAAATAACATATAGCAATATTATCGCGATTCAGAAAGATCGATACTCGATAAGTAACTTGACAATAATCCTTTCAAACTTATATCAACCGTGGGAGAGTCGATCCATAAGTTAATGAAACTATCTTCGAAAAACATCGATTCGGGGGGAGGATCTGTTGGCGATAATTTCCAAGTTCGTAATTACGTCTAACGAGGTGAACTTCCAACCAAGACCACCACTCCGTTGGAAGGGAAAGTTTTCCAACGGGGGGGGGGGGGGTGAAAGAAAATTTCACGCCCCAAGGATCGCGCCGAGGGGCAGAATAATCGATCGATTTCGGATAAGCCGCGCGATAAAGGGTTGCACGGCGAGCAGAACAGGTGTGTTAAGTAATTAGCAGGTGTAAGTGTGTTGGAACGTGTTGAGAACGAGCCACACGCTCGTTCATCCGGCGTCCAGCCTCTATCCCGTTAACGATCTTCGTTAACTCGATTTTATTACGTTAAGTCGGCTAATCCGGCTCCAACTGACCGCTCCTCGATTATTCTCCTTAGACTCTATACACCCGCTTTATTTTTCTACCCTCTTCCTTTCTTTTCGCGTCTTTCAACGAATATTTAATGTTCCAACGATTAAAAGAGATTGGATAAGCGAAACAGATAAAAAGCGTAGCGGGGTGTATGAAAATTTCGTACGAATTTCCAAATGATATTGTATACGAGACTAAACAAGTCGATATCAACGAATTTTTTCTCGTTTAGCGAGAAAACGTTTGGCTAAAAATACGGCTGATCACGATACATTCATTCGCGATACGCGCATTTGTATTTCATATATAAAATAAAAAAGAAGAAACGATAGAAAAATCTTTTCGATCTAATCATGCCGATCGAAAGAAACGAAAAACACGTACTAAACAAACTTACTAAACAAAAGAAGAGGAGGAGGAAAGAAAAAAGGAGAAATATTTGGAAAAAAAAAATCTAGCCCGAATCTAGCAATTATATGAATCAAAGAAAGAGAGAAAAAAAATAGAATCCCTCCCTCCATCAATTGTCGAATCGTCGAGTTCACAGAGCCGCGTATTGACTTATCCAAGCATTCACGAGAGCGTGGGCGGCGATCGAATTTTCCTAAGTTCGATGCTTTCGATTGTCGCTTTACACCGATATATATGTATATATATATATGTATGTATATATACATATCTCCCATTTGACCATTTACATCCACGCGTTCCTCAATGAATTCATATAAACTGCATCGTTTCACAGCCGGCCGGTTGCCGATTTATCGGGGGATTTATCGCTTAATTCCGCGCGCGCGAGCGCAACAGGGGGATATGTATACTTAATCGGTGAAATTATTCGAAATTACGCGGAACGTAATGTTTATTTACGCTCATCGGCGACGCTTGTACACCGCGAAATATTATTTACATCGATGCACGTTCAATTACTTGGCGCGAATTATCGTCGAGAGACTGGCTGATACGCGATTCATCGATCGAGGTAACACAATGTGTGTGCGCGTGTGTGTATATATGTGTGTGTGCTGCATGAGAGAATGAACGTGGCTTTGGGGAAGTTTGAGAGAATTATGGAGTATGTGGATATTGTTTTATGTATACGTAAGATTTGCAGAGTGCAAATGGAAGATTTAGCCCTGGGGGGGTTGTACGATGTACGAGTTCACGGAGAGGAAATTTTATTGGTAAATTTTTGGGTTAAATGGGTTCTTTTTCTTATTGGAAGAAGTTTGGTATTTTTTTTTTTTTATTCGATGTTATAAATGTTTTGGAATTTTTTAAGAATTTTTTGAAGCCTAAAACAATTGGGAATAAGGGTAAAAATGAAAGGTTTAGGATAAGTTGCTTGAGGAGAATTAGGAGGAATTTTGAAACATCCTTTGTGTAATTTGTAGATTGCTGAGAATTTATTGAAACACGAGAGATTTGTCGGAATTAAAATTTTTTAAATCGATAATATAGTATATTTTTAATTTCGGAATATGTATCGAATGCATCGATGTAAAATATTAAACAGTGAAGATGATATGAAAACGTTGCTTTGTAGGATCAATCGATCATAGATTAAATGATGTTCCCGATGTTTAATATTGAAACTCTTGCATCCGATATTCATTAAAAATATAATATTACAGATTTTTTTTAATTACAAATATATATTTTAAGTAATTCAAAAATATATGTATATAAATGTATTTAATTATACATATAATTATAAAGTTATTGTGATTTTATAAAAAAGAATTGTGTCTACAAAAATAAAACAGCGAGATAAGTAGAAAAAAATAAAATTTATATTTAATTATTCATAGAAAAGATAATACGAACAAAATTCCCATTAAATTTAATTCTACTAATTTCCTCCGCTTATTTACTCCATTTTAATTAATTTTCAATCTTTCAACTACATTTAACATCATGCTTTATCGTTTCAACCGTTTAAAAACCTTAATCTCCAACGATAAAACATAACAAATCGCACGATTATATCCTGCAAAATGAATAAACCGTGTAATTTATACCGAACAACAAAACCGTGAATAACAATCGAAAATCTCGAAATTGAAATCCTGTTCGATCATCATAACTCAACTTCCTCAATTTCAAAAATCTATCTAACCCCGCAACATCGAACAAACGTTTCGCATTTGCAAAAATTTGCAAAACATAGCCACGTCGCGTACGTTCGATTATCCACGACAAATTATTGTTCGACTTCTATTCGACTATGCATATCGAAACGTAGTTTATCAATCGCGAACGCTATCGAATGCTATCAGATCGATCGGATGAGGATATTTTAATTGCATCGTTGGGAAATTTTTTTTTAAACGCGTTTCCGATCACGCGATTTTCGAAATTCCGATCGGATAAAAGTGGACACGAGACACAACATTTTTATTTATTGGTCGATAAAATAAAATACATAATAGATTCGCAACATAGAAATATATTTAAAGAAGGATTATTCTTGTAGAATTAATAAATATTAAGAAAATATTATTATTTACAAGTATAAGTATAATGCAAATTTTTATATAATACAACCAATCACCCGTGTCGATTCGGATTTTTCATCCTATGACATGATTAAGGGGAGGATTGGATGATTGGAGGAACAAAAATGCATGCGACTCACCGTCAGATGCGAAGGATGTTGTCCTCAAAGTTGTTATAAACCAACAACAAGACACCATGAAAGCTATT